AGGGCGCTGAGGCGGCGCCAACGGCGCTTCCCTGCCGAGGAGTAGCCCCTCGCTCCCGTGCCCGGCAAAAAGATGGATTTAAATAGTGAAATCCCGCTGTTTAAGTGTTAAATCCGGCTTGCAGGCCCGCCTCAGGCACCCCATGCACCCAAGGCAATTCCACACCGACCGCTCAAGGAGCAGCAAGGGGGAAACAACGGGACAAATAAGTGGTCAAAAAGTGGGATTTTCTTGTTGTTGTTGCTTTGTTTTTAACTACAGGAAAATGCCTCAGGAAAGCTTGGAGGGCTACAGGTAGAAACACAGGGACCTTTCAGTGAGGGTGACCCAGGGTGGCCCTGGTGGCGCCTCCAGAGCTCCTGACTTGGGACATGTCCCCCGGGAGGACAACGTGAGTGCCAGGAAATGGTGTTTTGGAGGCCCAGCTGAAACATTTTGCTGAAACCTTGTCCTGGAGTTGGCCGAAGTTTGTGCTTCTCCAATTTCACAAAGCGCTTTGGCATTTCCCGACCTCGATCCGGGGAGGAAGCCTTCAGCTAACTTCTTCAGGCTTCCCATCAGGTCCTTTCGAATGATTTATACATTATTAAAAAGTACCATGGCTCATTAGCAACAAACAAAGGGAATATCTGTGTCTTGCCGGTGCTCTCAGATGTCTCCAGGGGTTTTTCTACTCCACATCCTCAGCTGCCACCCGGGTCAAAATGATGGATTTTTCCATAATCTTTTGCTACGTTGGGTGCTCACGTCTCCTCCTTTCATTTGCTTTCTTTGTGCTTCAAAGGGGTGGGTGCTGAAGCGGTTTTCAGCCACCGTGACTGTGCTGCACCCTGGTTACTACATGCATTAAGCTACTGAACACGTTGCTTCTTTTGAACTCCTCTAGTGCACCAGTAAAAACCACAATCTTGGCTCATAAAGCACCTGAAGCCTTTCCTTGTAGCCAGGCATTTGAAGGAGGGCAGTCCTGGCTGGTCTAACAGACACTTAACATCCTTTCTAGTGTTATAATTTACGAGGAAACTTCAGGGATGAATTGTCTGGCTGAGGAGAGTGCCCCAAAAAATGCATACACGGAATTATATTAACATTTAAAAATATCATTCCAAAAGCCGGTTCAAAAGGAGTTCGCCTAAGTTGTACAAGCACAAACCCAGTGTGAACATCTGATAAGTAACAGTGATTTATCAGCCCTGTCTTTCTACCAGGAGCCAGTTTTATGCTTGCTGACGATGGAGCGGAGTTTTCTTGCATAGCATGAATGGACAGCAATGTTCTTGAGGCCATAGACCTGCAGTGTTGATGGTCAAGGGACACAGACAAGATGAAATAATATAACCTGAAAATTAAATAAACCTCCAGCTACAGGGTAAAAGCTTTTCTTCTGTGCCAAAGACTTATCCGTTTTCTTTTTTTCCAACAACATCAGATACTTTAATAAAAGTTATTGCTTCTACCTGCAAACATCATATTACGTCTGCCAACATTATTTTGATTTTCTTCTGAGCTGGCTAAAATAAAGTAAAATGTGTTTTCACATCATGGAAACACTGGGGAGTCTCTTTTTGCCCCCAAAGCAGGCTTATGGTGGGGGGTCTTCGCTAGTATAAATCTGCAGCACTGCAATGTTTGAATAAGTCCTGGCAGCATTCGGGTTCCTGGCTTCTGAAAAGCAAAATTGTGACTCTTGACTCTTGACTCTTAATTTGCCGAGTTTGTGTTGACTTACTGAATACATCAGATTCTTTCAGCTCTGTTTGGGAACGGCAACGTATGCTGGAAAAGGGAGTTTAGGAATCCAAATTTGTTTCACATTTTGCCACTTTTCCCAGCTCCAACATATGGTCAAGTCTTGATTCCCCTAAGGGTTGTAGATTTTTGATCTTGGTTTTGGGAACCAATCCAGGGATGGGGAAACGCAGAGCTGTGAGTTACAGCATGAAAAGTTCTGTTGTTCCATTTCCAGAAAAGTGGGGTTTTGAGTATATTAGGCATGGCAAAAATCAACAAAACCCTTGGACTTTGACATCATTACACAGGCAAAAAGCTTGATCCCAAAGGTGTGCTTTCCAGGAAAGACTGTTTCACTCCTTTCTTTTCTAATTCATGACTTCGTTTTCTGATCATTAAACCAATCATGTTCTCAGTAGATGGGAAGTAAAGCAATCAAACTGATTTTGTCTGTTTTCATAGTCAATGTGCTCGTGGCAGCAGGGCCAGGGAGGGATCCTGCCCCTCTGCTCAGCCCTGGGGAGGCACCTGGAGCATCGGGGGCAGCTCTGGGCTCCCCAGGACCAGAGGGACGTGGAGCTGCCAGAGAGGGGCCAGCGCAGAGCCACCAAGATGCTGAAGGGACTGGAGCATCTGTGGTGTGAGGAAAGAGGGAGCGAGCGGGGCCTGTCCAGCCTGGAGAGGAGAAGGCTGAGAGGGATCTGAGCAACATGGACAAACACCTGAGGGGAGAGTGTAGGGAGGATGGGGCCAAACTCTTGTCCACCCTCAGCTGTTCTGGGATTCTGTGGCTTCAGCAGACTTGGCTAGTCATTTGGTACTGAAAAGTGCAAACAGAGCAAGCTGAAGACAAACCAGGTTCCTAACTGCACAAACTACAACTTAAAATAACTCATTACTTCATCTTAGCAGGTTTGACCTCCTTCCATTCCCTCCTGTCATCGTGGGTGCTACAGGTGAAGAGAAACCCCTTGTTATACAGAGCTGCCGTAAGTGGAGGCATTGACAGGTACGGGTGTGAGCTGGTGGATCTGAGATCCACCTTGCCCTTCTTTGCATCTTCTTTGCATCTTCTGTCTGTCTATACAGTAAATTGTTGATTTAAACCTCTCTTCTCCCAACCAGCAGTGGTGTGTCTGCAGAAATGGAGAATGATGGTGATGTCACTGTGATCATGATGACGATGACAACATTTTTCATTGTGGATGTTCCAAAAAAGGGATTAAAAACCAGCAAATTTGACTTTCCACAGTCCACATGGGCCTGTGCTTCTGTGTTCAGGGCTTTTCCAAAGGATGAGAAGGCTGATGAAGCGACCAGTTGTTGAGTATTGAGCAGTGATGATGAAGTCTCTGCCTTCTAGCTGGCATCTGACATGGCCTGGATGTTCACAGTTGTCACTCTTCGGAGTTTTCTCAAGGTGAGAGATGAAATGAGATGTCTCCTGCTGGATTATATGGCTCTGAGCACCCTCAAAGTGGGATTTGGGAGAAGGGTACCAGGCTCAGGTTATAGAAGGGTTGAGTAACTCCATGACTAGCATGTAGGAAGATACGTGGTCACCTACTGTTGTGAAGTCCCTGGAGGTGCTTCCTAAGATCTGGTCTTTTATGAATTGAGATACCTCATCTGGCTGCTCTCTCTTCCATTTGTGGTCTTGATCCTGGCTGAATCTGTCCTGCTGCTTTTCTTACTAAAAGATACAGAGGTCCTATGGTACGTGGCTGTGCTGACAGGACCCAGCTCATTTTCTCTTCCAGGCAATTGTTCTCGGAGTTTTCTCAAGGTGAGAGATGAAATGAGATGTCTCCTGCTGGATTATATGGCTCTGAGCACCCTCAAAGTGGGATTTGGGAGAAGGGTACCAGGCTCAGGTTATAGAAGGGTTGAGTAACTCCATGACTAGCATGTAGGAAGATACGTGATCACCTACTGTTGTGAAGTCCCTGGAGGTGCTTCCTAAGATCTGGTCTTTTATGAATTGAGATACCTCATCTGGCTGCTCTCTCGTCCATTTGTGGTCTTGATCCTGGCTGAATCTGTCCTGCTGCTTTTCTTACTAAAAGATACAGAGGTCCTATGGTACGTGGCTGTACCCAGCCAGGACCCAGCTCGTTTTCTCTTTCCAATAACTGATTTCCCTGGAATGTAAAGAAGAGATTTAAGATTTTGAGCTAATGACAGTTCTGACAGTTTGGGGAAGGGACTTGCAGGGAGTGAGCTGGGTCTGTTTCCACCACTTTTCATAACAAGCTTGTTCCCTGAAATAGCATGCATGCAAAAGAGCAAAGTGTGCTTAGCAGGATAGTAACCGTCTGAGAGACTTGAAGTGCTGAGAGTTGAGCTCTTGCTGTCAGAGAAATTGTTGCCCTCACATCTTCATCACCCTTGAGCAAATATTTGCCTCCTATGACAATATTGTTGACCTGAGCACCTCTCAGTGCAAACCCTTGTAGCTTAACCAATCTTAGAAAAAATTTAGCTGGATTCTGATATGAACCAGGAGCATTCAGACTGGGGGTGAAACTATGCAGAAGTGGGGTCTTCATTTGCTCCCGTTTTGCCAACACAACTCCTCATTCAGCATCCTCAGACCTAACAGCTCTTTTCCTCAACAAATTATTATTATCAACCCCATTTTATAAAGAGGACAGTTAAGCTACAGGGACAGGCAGAGACAAAGACATGTGAGTTGGGGAAAGGGAACAGATCCTAGGAGCTGGATTTCTCTCAGCAAGTTCTACATATCTGCACCGTAGGTGTATGTGGCTGTGGGAGTCACCTTGGTCTGTCTTTGTGGGGGGAAAATGGCAAGGAATAGATCCTTTTTCTCCTTCCAAAACCTGGAATCCTTTAACCTGGGTATCACTGAGTACTTTTAGGAAAGACAGTTCTCCTGGAGCAGCCCACTTGGCCAGAAGACACCGTCTTGTCACTGCAGCTCTCCTAAATTTTCCATCTCAGCTCCCCAGTCTTTGTTTTGGGAACCAGCGTCACAAGAAATTTGGTGAGTTCTCCTTCATTTTCACCCGCTTCAGCTGAGATGTCTCCAGCTCCTGGACTTCTACAGCTTCAGAGTAGAGTCCTTTGCTTCTCTG